TCCTGAAGTTTTTTTGCTGTAAGATGGCTACCTTTACATCTGCTATTGTGTGGCCAGGGAGGTTGAAGTGTTCTCCTACAGGTTTTTGTATATTGCCATTCCTGATATAGACGAGACGCGATAAATCGATCCCCAATAGATCGATTACTACCCGCCGGGTAGTGTAGACGTGGCCTTAGACTCTCTAGCTGATTGTAGGATCAGTTACTGACCTTAAGCATCATCGCTTCTTCTACCTCCAACATTTCTTTTTCAGGAGTAGAAAGGCTTCTTGTATGCTATGGAAACAGGACCTAAATTCTGCGGCAGGGCCAGGGTCCCTTGTTTTCTGCAGCTCACTGGTGCGGCAGATTGGAAAATCTGCAGCAACTTTTAAGTAATTTTGTTTTAATGGGGTTTCTTAATGAATTCAGTAAGAAAATGAATAATACAATCAGTGTGGGATTCCACATGCATGCTTTGATAGAAACTTGAATGTGTTTTACTCTTCCCTGCCTTTGTCAATCTTCAGTACATGGCAGACATTTGTATTCCCAATGCCATACATGCTTTGTAAAAAATTGCCAGGAGGGAAGCTGGAAGGTTTGCAGCTGGGGCTTTTTGCACTGGTGGAATTAACTATCATCTTTAGGCTCGAATTAACCCTGCACCTCCCAAACTCTTGAAAGCTGGAAATTTCAGGAAAATGGAACTAATCTTGGGCCCCATCCTACAGTTGCACCATGTGTAGTTAAAAGCCTACCTCTCTGCATTTACACACCCTTGAGGAAACACTGCGTCTCACCACTGAAAAGAACTCACCTCTATTATTGTTTCTGCCCTCTACATACATTGCTATTGCTCCATTCGTTTAATTTGGTTGGTGTTTTTTAAGATTTTCTCTTCAATTGCTTGGCTAGAAATGCCGTGTTTTTTAAATGAAGGCCGAGGTTTTGCAGTTCAGTTATGCGGAAGAGGGGTGGTTTGTGTGTTGTATGCAGTAGGTCCCCAAGGAAATTAACCATCTTTCTTTCCAGGAAGATCCTGAATCTACATTCTGTTATTTAAATCTCATATTGATTAACAATATTAACTTATATTCCGTCTTCATGAGACATCTGATGATTCCAAAAGCCGCTATAAAATAACTAAATATAAAATATTCTAGTCCGTTGGGGTTCTTACACTACACCCATCCCTGGTATCAATTTAATTATTATGCTAAAAGAAACAGTTTTAAGAAAAATCACTGTGAAAAGGAGCAGTTTCTAGGTGTCTCCTTATTCCAGTTCCATCTTTACTCCTTTTGCTCTTCCCTCAACACTTGGAGCAGCCTTCCACTTATCCATCAGAAACCTCTCTCCTTCAAACCAAGCCTTCAAACCCATTTTTTCCCCCCACGAGTCCGTAGTGTATGTCTTGCCAAACTGCTGGCCAGTATTGGATTATTGTCCTAGGACGGTTTCTGAATGTTGGTATAAGAACTCTTAACCCTCTGGCAGATTTAGTACTATGAATGGCTTGGTAAATCTCTTGGGTTTTAGCTAATGATTTCCTTGTGTAAACATCTCCATTTCAGTGTGGGCAAGGGCTGAGTTCCATAAAGCCAGAGATTCACCCCTTTTGAATATTAGAGGTACTCACGGCCACTGCCTTTTGTGGTCTCCTCATTACATTTGCTTATTGGCTAACGTAATCCCTTTACTACTACCAAAAACATTCAGACATCACGAGCAATTCTAGCGGAACCCGTCCACCAGATGAAACACTAGAAAGTACCAGCTGTATCCTCCTGTGAGGGAGGAGTGCACTTCCAAGACACGGCTAGCTCATTCATCTGCGAAAACTGGCCTGACAGCTAACCAGAGACAAAACTTGGTTCCATTTCATTGTAAAACATGAATTCCTGACATATAAATTATTTTTTTCTACCACTCTCAACCTAAACCACTTCATGAACAAGACAGGATCGTTCAAAGAAAACAACGTTCTGTGGAATGCGAACGAACGGTCTCTCCGATGACCTGGCTATGTTACGACTTGGTCTCAAATGTTAAATGGTTCTGAGTTTAATTTTGTGCTTAATGGAAAATTTTCCTTCTTTCAGGCTGGTTGTTCCCAATAAAGGCTATTCATCATTAGATCAGAGCCCAGATGAAAAGCCCCTGGTGGCACTGGATACGGACAGGTATGAAAAGTTAATTAACAGTACGATTGTATGTCAGGGTCTTGCATTGTGTCTTGCGAGGCGTCTAGTGCTGAGTGCCCAGGCCCCTGCTTGCACCACTCATGCTAGTTCTTCTACCAAAGACGACTGTAACCTTGGGTAAGTGTCTTAATCTGTCTGCCTGTCTCCATAGATGTGAAATGGGTCTGCAGCTATTCACTTTCAGACTTTTTCAAACTGGGGCAGGTGGAGTGCTTTGAGATGTGTTGATGAAAGCTGCTACGTACATCTATAAACTTCTGCGTGCATGGAGTTGAGATTCACGATATGGACAAAATAGAGAGAGGCAAGATGCTAGAGAGAGAACAAGTCTCTTTAACTGTTTCCTTCCCTTTGCTGTCTCTTGTCTTCCCCACAGCGATGATGACTTTGACATGTCCAGATATTCCTCTTCGGGATATTCTTCAGCTGAGGTGAGTTACAATCTCTTCTGCCTGCCTTGCTATAGATACTAATTATCGAAGCAAGAATTGAGCTGGGCAAAGAATTTAGCAGCAACATTCTTATTCCAAGATTTCTTTTTTTTTTTTTTTTTTTAAATGGCAGGTGCTTCTCCCCTAGCTGAGCTAACTGGCTTTCTCCACTCATCCATTTGAGATAGGCATAATTTTCCGCATGGGATGTTCTCACATGTGATCTTAGCACTGCTGAAGTTTTATCCCATAGTTGTCAGAATTTGCATTCCACGCTGGCAAACCTCCAATACATGGTGCCTTGGCACAACAGATGCAAACATGCTATACTGGAGGCCATGGCAGACTTGATAACCATCCACCTGACACGTACAAGTGCAGCAAGTCCCTGGGATGCTACAGTAGTGGTTGCTCAAAGCTGTCTCTATATAAGGAATGTTGACACGTGCTATGAATATCAGGGTCACTTTGTGCTTTGTGATCAGGCCCCCACAAAACTGGGGCAAGGGCAGATCCAAGAAGAACTTGTATAGAAGTTCTTGCTGCCTCTTCCTTGGGGAAAAAACTGCGAGTTCAGTATTGTTGATTCTTCAACCTTATTTCCCAGTACATTTCAAACATCTCTGGTGAATCAATTGCTCAGGCACTGGTCCATATTTTGCATAACGAACTAATCAAATTAAGCTTAGGCTGTTGGGCAGCCCATTTTCACATGGAGGCCATTGGAAACTGCTTCTCCTTCAATCCCTTCTTTGGCCAAACCAAAATCAAACCTTTAGGAGACAGTTGGGAGCCAGGGTCAAGTCAAGAAATCTGGAATGTATCCGGGTCCCCAAACAAAGCATGCTGTTACAGTCATGCAATCAGATCTGGTCAGCTAAGCAAGGTCAGGCCAGATCAGTATTTGAATCAGAGACCTCAACGGAACACCTATGGACCACGGGTAGTGGTGATGATTTCAGTAGCTCTTCCTTCTGGATCAATGCTAACACAATGCCCCTGCTGGAGGTTCTTTTTTTTTTTTAACAAGGTCTTGTCTACACAGGGAAGTTATTCTGGAATAAGGTAGGGTGTGAATTTAAAGCACTATAGCTGTGCTGGAATCATGTGGACGTTCTTGGTTCGGAATCAGCGTGTCCACATTGGGAGCTGTTTTGATCAATTTCCCTGCGTAGTCAAGATCTTAGGCTTGGTCTACACTAAACCCCCAAATCGAACTAAGGTACGCAACTTCAGCTACGTGAATAACGTAGCTGAAGTCGACGTACCTTAGTTCGAACTTACCGCCGTCCAGACCCGGCAGGCAGGCTCCCCCGTCGACTCCGCGTACTCCTCGCAGCGAGCAGGATTACCGGAGTCGACGGGGAGCACTTCTGAGTTCGATTTATCGCGTCCAGACTAGACGCGATAAATCGAACCCAGAAGTTCGATTGCCTGCTGCCGAACCAGCGCGGTAAGTATAGACAAGCCCTGAGATGTAAAAAAGAAGTCCTGATCACACGTGGCCATTAAAGGTCTCACAGCACTCTTTTTTTAAAGTGGGGAGGATTCAGTCCTGGTGTCCTGGCCCAATTCCAGCTCGCCTGACTGCAAACATCTCCTCAAGTTCCAGTTCGATACAATTTCTTCACTTGCTGGCCTAAGCTGCTGTACATTGCTTTTGTGCATTGTTAAAGAAGAGCTGTTTGTCCCACAACGTGGCTGTACTTAGTGATGGCTGCAATAAACCCCTGTGCATAGTTCATGTAACCATTTGTGAAAGGTGCAGTATAAATATTGCTGCATGAGAAACTCAAACCTACTTTTCTAAAGAGTGGTGTACTTGGGAGGCAGCACCCGCCCTGTGCGCATGTTGGCTTCAGGGAGTCACTCTGGCAAGCTCTGAGCAATAACGCCCCCCCCCCCCCTTTTTTTAATAAAGAAACTTTTGTTAAAAGCCGGGTTAGGAAGATAGCTCCCTCAGAAACTCTTATTTTAATGGTACATTTTAGAATTAAACTCTGCACTAACGAACCAGAGGGAGCGAACCCCTTGCAAACAGGTGGACCAGAATTGCACTTGGTAGAGTTCTTTCCACTGGCAGCCATCCTCCCTCTCATCCTTTTTATTTTTTTCCTTCCCTTCCTCCAAGAAAAAAAAATTAGTGGCTTTGTGCAGCCTCAATTATCAGCTCTCTCATTGTGTAGAACCCCTGCCCCTGCCCTGCCGTTTGCCAGGCAGCCTGCCCTGTGCTGGGGCCCACATTTGAACTCTGAAAGTCAGGAGCTCTTAAAGTAATGCATGAGACTTGATAGGTTCCCGTGGCCACTTATCACTCTGGCTATGTCTACACTTCCACAGTAAGTCAACCTAAGTTACGCTACTCCTACTACGTAGCTTAAGTCGACTTACTGCGGTGTCTGCACCGCACTGGGTCGACTGGAGACACTCTCCCGTCGACTTTCCTTACTCTTCTCGTTCGGGGTGGAGTACTGGGGTCGACCGGAGAGCAATCTGCGGTTGATTTGGCGAGTCTTCACTAGACCCACTAAATCAACCCCCGGTGCATCAATCGCCGGAGCGCCGATCCGGCCGTAGTGTAGACATAGCCTCTGATTGCGTCTACACTGCAGCTGCTGGAGTAATTTCCAGCTCAAGGACACACATCCGCACTGACTTTGATCACCGAGCTAGCCCACTAAAAATAGCAGTGTAGCGGCGGCAGCATGGGCTAGCCACCCGAGTATAATCCTGTCCAAGATCCTAGCTAATGCACTCAGGCAGCTAACCAAGCCACCCGCCGTGCTGCTGCGGCTACACCGCTGTCTTTAGCACCCTACCTTGATCAAAGCTAGTAGGTGTATGTCTGCCCCAGCTGGGAATCACACCTCCCACTCCAGTGTAGGAGTACCCGGTGAGGCAGGGAAAGCGAGAGGCTTTCAGCAGCAGAAAAGGGGTCTGGAATTGTAACTCTTGGCAGCTGGGAAGGAAGTCTGCGTTGGTCCAGTGGTAGTGGGCGGAGGGCGTTTGGAAGCGTTCCAGGCTTCTTGTTTGTTTGGGTTGAGAGGGAATTGAAAGGGGGTGGCACCTGGGGATGCAGCTGGGACTCTGGTGGGATATTTTTCACTGCTGGAATGTTTGGCAGCTGGGAATGGAAGACAAATATGTCACATGTTCAGGAAACATCCTCCCATTCTGCACCATTTGCGGGGGGGGGTGGCGGGGCAAGTCTCAAGTATTTGACTGTTTGTCTCTTTGTCTGCAGCAGATCAACCAAGACTTGAACATCCAGCTGCTAAAGGATGGCTATCGGTTAGATGAGATCCCAGACGATGAGGACCTCGACCTAATCCCCCCTAAATCAGTCAACCCCACCTGCATGTGCTGCCAAGCCACCTCCTCCACCGCCTGCCACATCCAGTAATGAGGACGGCAGGCTGTGATCAGTGCTTTCCACTATAACTGTAAAACTTAACAGCCATTGCTTCCTCCTATGGTAGGACGTGCACCTCTTTGTGTTCATGGAGCCAGGAGAAACCAAAACTCCATTTTATGATTGGTTGATGAGTTATTTTAAGCTATGGTTAACAGACATAAGCTGCTCCAAGTGCCAGGCTGGAGTCTGAGCAATTGGCTGGTCTGGAAAGCTAATGCAAATGGGTCCAGTGATCCCTGGGTCTGGACAGGCTCTGGGTATGGTTTGTAAGGTGTATGTACTGGATTGAGAAGGATCAGATGTGGCTGCAGTTAATCCTACCCGTCACAACTAATCCAACTGCGAGTTCAACTGAGTCTAAGTTGTAAGGTCTTTCTAACCCGGGGAAAGGTCATTTTTTAATTCATTCACTGAAACTGATCAGTTTGTGCCAACCAAAATTGTACCTGAATAGGAACAGAGTGGAGTATTCTAGACTATGGCAGTGCTGCTGGCAAGGATTAATATACCCTGGAAATCAGTTACACACAAACCGAACATGTAGGAGGAATTTCATTCTGGGTTAATACCAAACTTTACTTGGACTGTCATGTCACAGATCTGATGTAACCTACTGTTATTTCCACATGAGATTAGCAGCAAACAGATAAAATTCTGTCCACAATCCATCCATGCCCCTCCTGCATTCAATTTATTCCCAGGAGTAAACATACCATATCCATGAATTCAGTCCAGTCATATTTATTGGGTTTTGCCTCCAATGTTTAAGGGGAATTTTTGGGGCCCAGCTGCTGGCAAAAATCACAGTCCGTGTCCATTTAAGTAAAAAATATGTATATACCTAGGAAGAATCATAATGATACAGTCTTAAGGTCAGAACCAAAAAAGCAAGTTGAAGAAAGCACATGGTTTTTACAGTACACAGAGGTTCATGTTATCTTGACTTTGAGCCTCTTAGTGCCTATTGAAGAGATTTACCAACACTGTACGTCTGTGCATTTAGTGTTGCCATATGTTAGCAGGATAGGCAGTTTCCAGCAACAAGAGGATTGAGCAGGTTCCCATCATGAGGCGCACGAGGGAAACTGCTGTCATCCCACCTCTGCCCTATTCTGAGCCAGCCTTAGCTTGTGTTAGGGCGGTGCCAGTGGTGAAGGAACAGTTGTGTTTGCACAATGCTGTTCGTGTTCAGGAAACATGCCTCTAAGATCAGCAGATTTACTGCATCGCCAATTCAGGTTTGTTTTTAATGCCAGTGAATTTCCTGAATTACGAACCATATTGGCCTCCTGATATTTCTTTTAAACTTTTGGTGCAAAAGGTGCCCAAGAGTCAGGTAAATGTAGGGCCTGCGCTTATTATGCCATCAGACTAAATTCCTTGACATGAAACATGACTGCATATTCTTCTGCTTTGTCAGGAGGGACAAAAATTACCAACCTTGCTTTTAGTGCTTGCTTCGGGTATTGGTAATGAAAATATTTGAGGAAAACGAAACCATTTTTCCAGTTTAAACTGCTTCTGGGAATTCCTTCATAATGCAACACATATGCTTCAATTTCATCTTTCTGGAGTGTAAAATCCTTGTGTAAAAGTTAGATGCCGTCAACTAAATCTTTAAAAGGACAGAGTAGCAGCCGTGTTAGTCTGTATCCGCAAAAAGAAGAACAGGAGGACTTGTGGCACCTTAGAGACTAGTCTACTAAGGTGCCACAAGTCCTCCTGTTCTTCTTTTTTTAAAAGGACACTGTCAGCTGCTTTTAATAGCTTTAATCATTGTTGGCTTTTACTCTGTGTATGGCAAGATGCAGCATACTCTAGTGGTCTGAGCACAGGATTAGAGCACAGGGGCTCCTGGGTTCTAGAGCACAGGGGCTCCTGGGTTCTAGAGCACAGGGGCTCCTGGGTTCTAGAGCACAGCTCCACCACTCGCTTGTGTGGCCTTGAGCAAGTCACTCAAACTGTGTTTTCCCCATCTGTAAAATGGCAGAATACTTACCTACCTCACAGGACATTGTGAGGATAAGTTGCCGTTGTTTATAGCACTTTACATCTAATAAGTGCTAACTGCCCTTTGCAAATCCTCTGAGACTTTTGGAAACGGAATGTGCCCCTATTGATCTTGCCCTTTTTAATCACTTGGCAACTATTGAGGTGGAAGTTTTCCCAAACGTTTCTAGAGAAGCACAAATCGTCAGCCATCGTGTGCCCGCTTCACCTTAGATGCCAGCAGAAATGGTGCTCAGCTTTGGGAATAACTAGGCAGAAGAGGCGCTCTCACAAAATGATATGTGTAGAGACAAGATGGCTTTTGATTCTTGGGAGTAATGAGTGGGGAATGTGGCCAAATATTTTTTTTAAAAGGTCAAATTTTATACTAAAATTATTTGACAGTGTCCCTTTAAAGGGCTGTATTAATACAGGCTTTCAGACTGCTGACTAAAACTTTATAGACTGGGACTACATAGTATAGTATTCATACGAACACCAACATCATCATTATATTCATCCTCTGGGGCAAGCATAGCTGCTCAAACTTTGCCCAACTGGGAGCATTGCCTGTTAGGGGTCTGGTGCCCCAGAGCTCTGCACCTACTTTGTATTTAAATACAATGGCATGGCCTGTGCCAGACTACAGGTCCCAGCATGCAAAGCCTCTGTCCTTATACCGAGCGCGTCCTGGTATGCAGATCAAGATGGAGCACTCCATGCTGGGATTAATAGTCTTCATAGGCTGCCCCACCATATTAAAGAAGAGACCTCACCTGCTGATGTGATGACTACCCTGTTTCCCCGAAAATAAGACAGTGTCTTATATTAATTTTTGCTCCCAAAGATGCGCTAGGTCTTATTTTCAGGGGATGTCTTATTTTTCAATGAAGAAGAATACGGTACACATTTTTTTGCCTTATTATCGGGGAGGTCTTATTATCGGGGGGATGCCTTATATTACAACGAGAGGCAAAACTGTAAGTAGGCCTTATTTTCGGAGGATGTCTTATTTTCGGGGAAACAGGGTATTGCCCCAAGGGAGCAGGAACAAATGCTTTTATTTCTTCTGGTTTCAATTTTTTTTGGCCTCCTGCCCCAAATGCATTATTTTAATAGCCCACCCCACTCCACCCCCAGCGCGCGCACACACACACACACCCCCCACCTTTTGGGCTGTGAAATAAGCACACGCTTCCAGTTTAACCCTTTAGGATCTGCGTGAGAGGGATGCTCAGTGTTTGGGGAAGATAGGAGGCAGGTGAAGACTATGTTTAAATATTAATTACACTACAGGTACTTTCATGGTATCTACAAACCAGGCTCCATGACGGGCGCTTTCTACAGATTCTACAGAAATCACATGCTGAGTTTGTTTCATTCCCCATTCACAAAGGGGTTTGGTTGCACAAACAGCTGGCTTAGCATGATCAGTACAGATCCATAAAATGGAAACTTTTGGCTTCTCCTCACTCTGTGCTTTGTGTCCATGTATTTCACCAGGGGGATAAACTAGACGGGGTAGAAAGAAAAGCAGTGATCAATGTAGGGTTGGATTCAGGAAATGCATTGAGAAAATGCACATGTGGCTATTATAGAAAGTTGACCAATAATCCTGCTCCGCTACGGCTTCTCGTGCAGACTATGAACTTGTTGTTTAACAAAAAGAAAAGGACTCTGGTGGGAGGTTGGGGAGGGGTATTAATCTGAAAAATGGCTAGTTAAGCCTGGCTCTCCCTGCATGGCCTCATGTCCCAGACTTTGGTTCAGTGGATGGCTTCTCTTGCCTCATGCCACTCAAAGGAGTATATTAAACTATACCTGGCAATGTACATGGAGATTCTGTAGCGCTGCTTCTCAGCCCCAGGAGACGAGGAAAGAGAAGGGAGGATGTCCCTCACTTTCCACTTCAGCTGGAGAACACATTTATAAAACTGCCAGAGTGTTCTCATGTCAGCCGACTGCTTGAAAGAGAGCACTTGATATCCCGATGCATCCCTTATTTCAAGGTGACTATAGTCACCCTAAACCACAAGGCGTTCTCAAGAAGAGTCTTACTTTATCAAAAGTTCCATCTTCCAATCCCAAACCCTCACGGGCCACATTACAACTCCACACAGGGCGAAAGCCTGGGTCACCATTAGCTGAAATTATCACGCAGGCTCTGTTTGCCTGACAATTTGGAAAATGTTCTTATATTGACTCTTGGACCCCACAAATTTATGTCCACTTGATGCCTCTAAAATCAAAGCCCCTCTGCTTGATGCATATTAGGGTTCTTAATTTTAGTCATCATAAAATAATGGAATTTAATCACATCCCTTCCTGTCTATCAGGTGTTAACTTCCATATTGACTCTAGTATGCGAGACCTCAGCGTACAGATTTGGCTCGCCATCTGGGATGAAGACTGCCCCATTTCCAAAGATTAACACCATAAATAGGGACTCTCTATATTTCTGCCACACTGGGATGGGCGAGTGACAGTCTCTGTGTGGTGTGTTTCTCCCAATGAAGGAATGGGGGGAGGGGTAGCTCAGTGGTTTGACCTGCTAAACCCAGGGTTGAGAGTTCAATCCTTGAGGGGGCCAGTTAGGGATCTGGGGCAAAATCAGTACTTGGTCCTGCTGGTGAAGGCAGAGGGCTGGACTTGATGACCTTTCAGGGTCCCTTCCAGTTCTATGAGATAGGTATCTCTCCATATTAAATATATATATATACTCAACAAACCCATTGTAAAGTTCTGTCTACCCTCAGTATTTGTGAGTCACCTGTACTGATCATCCTTGTATCTAAACACCTATGTATCCCAGTATGTGACTGAGATGCAGGGCAGGTTGGGACCAAGTTATCTTGCATTGGCACAATGTATTGCAATATAGTGTCCAAAATGGGATGATTCTGATTCATTCTAGTCTGGCTCTTCTTCCACTTAAATCCACCAAAAGTGATTATGTAGAAAAATTCAGTTGATGCCCTAAACAGTCACATATTCAGAGGTAGGGTTGCCAACTCTCCAGGATTGGCCTGGAGTCTCCCAGAATTGGCATCAATCTCCCGGTGACTGCTGAAAGCAATCTGGGGGATTTTAATAGGATATTTTAAGAAAATGACATTGTCATGGCGGGGGGGAGGGGACGGGAAATCTCCTGGAATAGCTTCAGTCAGCATTGGCAATCCTATTCTGTGGATCTCTGTATCCAATGCCCTAGACCATCAGGGTCTAGGAGCACCGTAGAGGCTATTGATCAGAGCAGCATTGTGAAGCTCTGGAGAGGAGTCAGATACCATCTCAAAAGGAAGAGGGGATGTGACAGGAAGTCTTAGGGGCTTTAGAAGCAGTAAAAGGGTGGGGAAATCTTTTGCAGTCTGGAGGGGAGGGAAGTGGGAGGTCAAGTTGAGCTGGGGGGGGGAGAGAGGGAATCTTAGCTGATGACAAACTGCTGTCACCTTGTAATGAGCTTGGCTCACAAGCTTCTCAACCACTGCACTAACTTAGCAATGCACACTGGAAAATGGAGCAGAGGGGGCTTCCTAGTCCACTAGCCAGTAGCCCTGCTTTAGTCCTTCGGGTGCCCTTTTTCCATGTTGCAGGTACATGTACGGAGATCTTTTGAAGGCAGGAAGCTTGATGTCATCTAACTAGGGCCACTGGCCTTAGGCTTGTCTGATGAGATGTTTTCCCAGCTATGAAGCCAACCCTCAGGGAGCGAAGAGCCCGCTGAGTCCTTCTCTGATGTATGTTGCTTACCACATTACTTATCTGGATTGAATTTTAGATGATGTATCCTCCAGCTAGGCTCTTCTCTGTCATCCTTTCCTCTGCCCTTCCTGACAGCGTATTTATTCTATCAGACCATGTGCCTTTGGGGCTGATGTGTATTTGGGCTGTCTTGTCTGTGCCTGTCTAGAACCTGAATAAATAACTGGGGTGGAGCGGGGGTAGCAGCACTGACTGGACTTGCCAGAAGAGCACAGGGTAGGCCATACTGCTTTTCTTCAGCTTCGGTATCTGCCCTCCAATTCCCCCATCCCAGAGGGGGTGTTGGCTTCTCTTCGGCTGCATCCCGGCTTGCACCTTCATAGCTCAATTCCTCCGCAGAATCCTTGTGTCGTGGTGGTTGTGGCACCTGTTCTTAGGCCTCATTGCAGCCAGTGCAAAGGAGTCCGGGAGGTTTGATAAATAAGCTGCCTGCTGTACATGACTGAGCAGAAACGGGGAAGAGGCTTTTGAAAGAGGACAGGACCCAGTTGAGCGCCAGGTGGGAGGAGAAAAGGAGGCAGTGACTGGGGGTGCTGCCAAGTGCCTTCTTAGCTTAGGGCAGGTCCTGGTTGTCCGACCTAATCTGCTTCTGTAAGGTGCTGTTACAAGCAGGATGCAAATCTTGCTTGCTGCGCACCCACCAGAAACCAACCCGAAAGCCAATGGGGGATGAAAGATGCTAACTGCAGAAAATCCGCTAATAATCTCAATCCGCAGAGTGATGTCCTGGCCTCTGCTACACACTTGCTGTGACCTTGCCTCTGCCCGGGGCTAGAATTCTGTCTCACAGGGGTGATGAGGCTGCATTTATCATTGGCAGGTGCTTTGGGATCCTTTGACGAAAGGTGCTAGAGCTGACGGGTGAAGAAAATGAAAAAACTACATTTAAAACAGTCAGATGTCTATTAAAAATCCAAATCCACAAAGAGCAGCGGTGCAGCTCCCCCTCCCTTGATGTAGCGGCGTCTGATGGTGCAACGTGCCAGAAGGCCTCAGGGTGGAGTGTCTGAGCGCCCAGCCGCGCTGTCCATCGTCAGCAGGATGAAGGCGCTGAAGAGGGCAGGTGGATGTACAGGCGTGGGAGAGAGCAAGTTGGATTAATGGTGGAAACGAGCAGCACGGCAGCGGCTCTGATGTGTGAGGGAGTTTCTGTGGGACGCTTCCTGTGCTGTGTTTTCTGTGCACGTAACAATTTAAGGTATAAATTAAAACTTTCCTCCCTCTCTTGGCTTTCAGGCTCTCTCTCTCTCTCTGGGCCCTCCCTTCACCTTCCATTCTTCCTCCAAGCCCGCACTGAATATGGCTGCTGCTACGCAGAATTCAGTTTGCCTTGTCATCTGAGCATTGCTTGACTCAGCACGCATGGGCCATCGCTGTAGGCCCGGCATTTGAATCAAAGTTAACTCGTCCTTGCTCCACCCCTGACTTCCCTTCAGAGCTGACAGCAGGATTCAGGAGTGCTCTTTTCTTTCTCCTGGTCTTGGCCCCTGTAGACATAGAACAGTGTATGTAGATGCCCAGGCAGGGCCTTGGGGAGGACGGTATGGGTTAAATTGTTTAGAGTGTTGTGACATAGGAGCCTGGTGGAGGGTAGTAACTGTAAAGGTCCGCTGGGGCGCGGGGGTGCTGTGGTACGTTACAAGCTCTCACAGTGCTGAGTCCACAACTCCTATCAAAGTCAGTCGGTTGCTGGTGCTCAGGATCGGTCCCTTTCTGCCTGTGTGCCCCTCGTGGGAGGGTGTAATAGCACTGGGAGATAGCGACCGTGCTGCTCAGCTTTGCTGAAAGCACGGCCTCTTTCTCACTTTCACTCTGCGGTTCCCTGTGTCTGAGGGTTTGCTTCAGACTTTGACCTGCATCGCACCAGACAAGCCGGCCTCTGTTACCAGAACCGTGAATGTGAGCATGGCAGGGACAGCGTTCCGACCCAGACAAATCCAGACCCAGAAAGACCGGTGACTTAGCCTGAAAGTGCTGTGAACTGGAGCAGTCTACAACAAACTAACACGTGAGCATCTCAGACGGACAGGATACAGGCATCTGTCCTTTTCTGTGAGACTCAGTGTTCACAGCTGGTGGAAGCTGGCACCTGACCCTGAGGCATTAAGCCCATTCCTTTGTGTTGTGTAGGATAAGTTGCAGTGTTAAAGGCAGTTTCCACCAAATTTGAAACTACGTCTCTGTGAGGGGTTGTGTCGCCACCTGCCCTGCAATGCTGGGTACCTTCAAAGATGTGCTGCTGTGTTCGACAGCTCTGATCCCAACAGTCAGCCTACAAGCATTCAGGTCATAACCTGGCTTCCAGTGCCCAGTTACTTTTCGCAGGGTGACCCCAACACCCTCCAGTTCCAATTTTTTACCCAAATCATCTGCCCTGAAGTGTCCACTACACCAGTGTGACAATCTGCCGGGGGCCCCAGAATTATGAGTTACTGTGTTACCCCTCTCAGCCTCCACAAGTGTGAGTCTGCCTACTGCTAAGTTGTGTGACAACTCCTGACACCCCAGCTTGTCTGCCTTGCCAGCAAACCCTTCAGGACTCTGCCAGTCCAAACCTGGCCTTGCAGGTAACAACAGCGAACCCCACCTCCCGAGTTCCCCAGAGATATTCCCCTGCAGTGTCCAGCCCTCTCGCTGGAGACACAGATGTTATTGTTCATTGCTCCTTTAAAGAGCAGCCCATCGATTTAACGGGGGTTTGACAAACACTCTTCTTTCAATCACAGCACTGAATTGGATTTATAGTAGAAGTAAAACCCGTTTATTAAACAAAAAGTCATGGGTTTAAGTGTTACAAGCAAACAAAAGTAAAAATATGCTTCTGAGACTAAAACTTAACTTCAGCAAGTTACAGCCTTTCCCTAAACAGGGACTTTCTCAGGGACTTCAGCTGCTTTGGTTGAAGGATCCAACATTCTGTGATGGCGACCAGGATGGCTTCCTGTTTCTGCTACTTTCTCCCAGAATTCACTGACCCTGTTACAAGAGCTGAGAAGGATCCCTGCTGGTTTTCCCTTCCAGTTGACTTCCCATCCCCCCACTGATTCGAATGTAAACAGGGCTTCCATTGTTTCGATTCTATAATACTTAATTTGCATTGAAGACAGGAAGAAACCTTCCCTCCTATCTGGGAGAAAACCTGTTTCTCCCTGTGTTTGGTCCCAGCCTTTAAAGGATAATGGCAGTGAATATCCAGAATCCCTCAGGTAGTGCTAATGAATGCATTTCACACGGATATGCATCACCAGTGTGTCACAGGCTGTCCTGAAAGACCTTGCTTGCTACACTCTTACAATACAATGATATTATACCCAATCAGTTCCTTCAAGTACTTACTGTTTGAGGTTCACACAACCTGTCTTTATAGCCTCAGTGGACCTTTGAAATGAGTTCTTTGAAAAGTCAACCCAGCCCAAGCTTCTCTCTCCTGCCGCGGTGTAGATGCCAGGCTGTCATCCCACAGTTCATTCATCCTGCTTCAAGAGGCAGGAAGGCTGCCTGGAGGGTGCTGTCTCAACCCCATGTTGAGATTAAGTATCATCTTGTCCCACTTGCTCTCCTGAGGGCTTTATTTACCTTGTCTGTAAATGTCCTTTTCCTTGTCTTTGGTCACACCTGGCCTAAATTACATTGGAGACACATTCAAGCAAGTGGAACCACATTCCTTTGTCTGGAACAGGCGTGCAAACACTGCAGGCCCAAACCATGTTCAGAACACTTTTGCAGCACAGTATCTATAAAGTCCTTTGTGGCTTTACCGGGCATACGCCACGCAGTGATTTTCAGGACCAGCG